TGTCTTATGTGCAATATGTTCAGAGGCTCCTGAATCTGGTCAACTGATTAACTCAGACACTTTTTTTTTTTTTTTTTTTTAATGCTGATAATGCTTCCCTTTTGTTGACTGTTAAAGTCTCTTCTTTCCAAGGACATCTTTCTCAGCTTTCCTTATTTTTTGTTCTGCCTAGGGACTCCTAAATCACACACTGGCAGCCACTTTTCTTGAATGGATGACTGTTAACTCACTGTTGCAGGTTGCTTGGCTGACCTGCAAGACTCATCAATAACCAACCATGCATTATTGTTTGTAACTTGATAACCACGAGCTTCCAAATGAAAACCAGCTGAGTGAAACAGCCAGTTCGATGAAAGACAAAATAATTTTGAAACACGTATTTGCTGAATCTATTGTTTCTTGAATTACATGTTGTTGAATTACAAAGATGCAAGGGTCTGTTTTAGACTGCTCTTCAGGAGTATTTTTTGCTTTCTCAATGGCACTGCATTCTCGCACTGCAACACTGTCTAGAAATTCCAGTTTTGTGAGAAACTGAGCTGCTGCTGCTCACCAATAATCAGACCTTATTTATTCACAGGTTGTCATTCCTCAGCTGATTACAGCAGTGCTGTATATATGGACAATATGTCTTCTGTATTCAGGGAGTTTTGAGAAGTACATAATGCTGCAGCACAGCTTAGATACACAAGTTATTTGTAGGTATATCAAAACAATCTCTTTGGCTTTCCGTAGAATTTAAATTAAATTCAATATCTCAGTCTTATCTCCAGAGAACATAATTTCCAGGACAACTACAGTTCCAAGATAACAACTGTTGTTGACAAGAACAGCACTCCTGGCTATGGAGGCAAGGTACTCTTTTCAGGAGATAACTCACACAGACCTGGTTGCAAACAGCAGAATGAAGTTTTCCAAAGACAACAACAGAGTTCACCCATCATCCTATCCCAGCTACAAAGCACTCATCTTACCTTCCCTCCTTCAATCCAAATGTCTGTTTTTAAGAGTACCCATTTGTTTCGCAGTAATTAACCCCCACACTATGAAAACAAAATGTTTCACAGGCTCTTGCTACTCTGTGGAGGGATACAAGTATAAACAACATGTAATGTGTTCTAGGAGAGCAGCAACTTCCTTGTAACACCCTTTCACTTTGTAATACATAATGCATTACCTCACATTTTAATGTTAAATGTATGCAGTGGTTAAGAAGAGATTCCTGATGCAAATAAGTAGCCATGAAACTATGCCAGAAACAATAATTTCTCATGATGAAAGTAAGTTAAATGTACTTTAAAGACCATGTAAGTACTTGGAAATATATTTCCTTTTTCTTCTCCCCATATTAAATGGAACTTTCATGCCATTCTCTCAGCAGCACCAACCTTTTGCCTCATTCAGATATGTTCCTTACATGTCTGTGTATCTCTGTTAGTAACTCACACACATTCAAAAGCTGTTAAAATTTGACACATTGCAGACCTTTGGGCTCCCTTGGCTCTTAAGCCAGTCACACTAAATGCTTAAATTGTTTTCAGCATCAGAAGTCCCAGAAAGACTTGACAGACCTGTTATAGCTGACAGACAGTGCAGAGATGGTCTCCTGATTTCTGCAGCATAATCTGCAGGCAGTGCATGCTGGAATAGACAGTTTGCCTGCTGCAGTATGGGTGTAATCATCTTTTTTTTTGTCTCAGGAAAGCTGGTAAAAGCTAATACCAGTTGCATTTTTGGGGAAGTAACAGAGAGCATTCAAATTCAAGCACAGGAAAGTTTTGTTCATAACTGTACTTGCAATGCAGTTTCTTCACGTCCAGTAAAAGCACCATTAATATTACATTCTGAAAAGTTGCAGGACCAATTTATGCCCTGCATAAATCAATCTCAAAGGACCACACTATTTTATTACTGTTAGTGAATTTTGCTCATGTCTGTTTTCCAATTTGCCAAAACAATTTGCAAAAGGTAAAGGCACAATACAGCAGTGATTGTGGCTGACTTCAGTTTATTGGTTGTGTGGTGCATATAAAACAACTCATTTGGGGTGTCCTCATGGGATAATTTCACAACTATCATCCTTGGTTAGCTTGAAGCAGAAGAATTTTCAAGTGGTACAGGGATCTTTTTTCATAAGACTTATCTCTGTAATCTCTTTTTCTCCTAGTATTTGATGAGCATTGTTGATGGGGTTGTACAATAGTGTTCTTGTGACTTGCAGCTGTGTTTTTCAAACGAATATTTGTCTTGGATTCTCCATGGAATCTCTCAGCAGCTTTTATTGATGTTTCTTGTAAATGTTAAACACTACATCAATTCTTTGACTTTCTGCACCATCGTGTACTGCTGATAACCAGGTACTTGTTAACTTTGTTTATTCTTTGGATCACACTCATTCCATCAGTGACAGATGGCCTGCTGTGGTTTCAGTGCGATTTGCATTCCACACAGTCCCTCTACCAAAGTTGCCTGCTTTCTTCTCTAGAGTGATCTATCCTTTCTTGTCAGTAGGTAATGAATAAGACATACTGAGTATGCCTGCTTGGAGCAACACTTTTTTTTTAAATTTTGTTGTTGTTGTTACATCCTTATCTGTTTTGAATATTACTATTTAGAGATTCTTGCTGTTCCTGCTCTTCTTTGGTGAAAGAAAATACTCTTTCTCTCTGTAAGCCCATTAAGGAAATTTCTTTATGAAACAATCACTCTTAACATGATTTAAAAAAATGCAGGGCTGCTTACCTACTTTATGTGCTTTTAGAAGGTCATCAATACCATCTGGCAGGACTGGCTGATAAGCTGACAAGATCTATTGGTCATTATTGATTGGCTTTATCTTAAGAATTTCAAGCAAGTCTTCAATACCCAGCCTCTTAGAAGCCTAATCATCTGTACTTGTTCAGATATTCACTCAGATACATACTCTGTTCTGGAGAGCCTTGGCTGTTTTGTGTCTCTCAGCTATCTTTCACTAATATTTTGGTGGTCGGCAGCAAGACAGCATTCAGCTACAAACAAAATCTCTTTGAACTAAATTGACTTGAAGCTAAATCCCTTTAAACCCCTGCAGTCTGGAAGACTGAGTGGACTTCTTCAGCTGAGCTGATGTAGTGGAAAGCAGGAAGGTCCTGCTGTCCATTCCCTTAAGCAGCCGGTGTTTTTTGTTTAACCATATTCATTTCACATTTGCAAGGAGTTTAATTGTCTGTCCATTTACCTTTCAGAAATGGCTCCTCATGAGGTCAGGAGAGCACTGTGGCTGGTAGAGGAAGGAGGGGCAGCAGACAGTCATAGTCCAGAAAGAAGAGAGCGGGACAATGCCTTTGGTAGCAGTCACATTAGAGCCACAAAGCTGCAGCAGGAAACTATACCTGGAAAGTATGATTTTTTTTTTTATTATTAACATAACAGTATGTTCTAATGTTCAATATGTTCTAATTCTGTGCTACTTATCTTCCCCATGTCACACATTTCCAACTCCTTCCTTATTTTGGCTCCAGCAGTTCTGTGGTGAGTTGAATCAACTTGGTTGCTGATCAACACTGTGCTCACCTGAGAACTCATAATTTCTGTGTGTGTGTGTTAATTTTCAGGTGGATCTGACTCACCCTTTGGTTGCATGATTACTGGAACTGATGCAAGACAGGTAATGGAAATACCTGTAGAGGAGGGGCCAAAACCTTGTTTTCTAGCTGGAGATCAGTCTTACATCAGTTTGAGTCAGTCATGAGGCTGTAGTCAGACAAACTCCTAAAGCTGAAACTGTTGTCAGAAGAAACAGTCCTGCCTCCCTGTCCAGTGAATGCAATCCTTCCCAGCCTGTGCCACCTCCATCTGATATTGATCTGGTTCACCATGCAACACAGCTGGCTGTATGGCTGCAGGATGATCAGAACAAGGAGGTGAGTGATTTGATAACCAGTTTTTCAGGTTCACACCTCAGGCCGACTCCCAGGCCTGGCCCTGCCTGCAGCAGGTTGGAGCTGGTGCAGAGCTGGAGGGATGGAGGCTCCATCCCCCTCAGGGGCACCTGAGCTGGGCAGGAAGTGTCAAAGCACAGCTGCACTCCTGGATTTGCTGTCCCTAAACTGACAGACTCCCACAGCAGGATCCTCACCAGGCACTGGCAAGTACCCCGTGGGCAAGGCTGGACAGGGCCGTGGCAAGCGAGCCAGTGGAGATGGCCAGGGCTGTGGTGCCTCACTGTGATGTGGGTGGGGAGCCATTGCCCCAAAACCAGCGCTGCACAGGGACACCTCCTGACGGATGTGGCACTTCCAGCAGCGGGGATCCCCTCACCCCACACTGTGCTGGCACATCCTTGGGTGGCAGGTCCCTGTGGGCACACAAAGCCCCTGCTCTTGACCTCCTCCTCTCTCCCACCCCCAGAGCAGCTGCCCCGTGGAGCCACCATGCAGGGTGACCCTGCTGCGGCCACATCTGCAGCGCTGTGTCCAGCTCTGGGCTCTGCAGCACCAGAGACTCGTGAAGCTCCAGGGCTGGGCCAGTGGAGATCTACAGCAATGGTTAAAGGACTGGAGCAGCCCCTTCATCAGGAAAGGCAGGCGGAGCTGGGCCTGTCCCGCCTTGAGAAAAGCTGACTGAGAGTTCACCAAGGTGTATAAATATCTAAAGGAGGGGTGTCAGAGGATGGAGCCGGGCCCTCCTCGGGGGTGCCACGGCAGAAAGTGATGCACAGCAGTTCCACACGAACTTCTTGACTGTGCAGCGACCACACTCTGGAACGGGTTGCCCAGAGAGGGTATGGAGTCCCGCTCACTGCAGACATCCAGGAGCGCTGGGGACGCAGCCCTGCTCTGAGGAATGACCCTGCCGGTCCCGGTGCCGGGTCCCCTCAGGCACCCCGCTCCTCCCGCCCCAGGCCCCGCCCCAGCCCCAGGCCACGCCCCCTTCCACGCCCCCCCGGCGCGCGGGCCCGGCGCGCCCCCGCCGGCCCCGCCTCCTCGCGTCGGCCCCGCGCGCCGGGGCCGCGCGCGCGCCGGCGGCTGCGCAGTGTCGGCACATCCGGGCACTGGGGCAGGATGAGCGCTCCTTTCCAAGATGGCGGCGGAGGGAGGTGGGAAGGAGATGAACGAGATTAAGACCCAGTTCACCACCCGGGAGGGGCTGTACAAGCTGCTGAGCCACTCGGAGTACAGCCGGCCTAACCGCGTGCCCTTCAACTCGCAGGGCTCCAACCCCGTCCGCGTCTCCTTCGTCAACGTCAACGACCAGAGCGGCAACGGGGACCGGCTCTGCTTCAATGTGGGCCGGGAGCTCTACTTCTACATCTACAAGGGGGTCCGCAAGGTACCGGGGCTCCCCCGCCGGGATGGGGCGGGCAGTGGCGGGGGCTCGGCGCCGCCCGCCCGCGGGGTGCGGAGCCCCGGGGGCGGGGGCCGAGGCCGGGCTGCCCCTCCCTCGCTGCCCCCTCCCCGCGGCCGCGGGGCCGGCGGCTCCTCGGCTCCGGCCCCTCTCCCGCTTAGCCGGGTCGCGGCTGGGGAGGGGGAGAGCAGGCCGGGGAGAGCGCGGTGTGAGGGCATCGGCGCTCGGGGCCGCTCCAGATACGGTGTCAGCGACGGGAGCTGTGTGAGCGGGCCCCGTGCGGGGATGCGGTCGCTGGGGCCCTCCTTGTGCGGGAGTGAGGGCTGGCTCTCCCTCCCTGGGCCTCCGTCACCTGCTGCTTCAGGTCAGAATTTGCTGGACACACTAATGCCTGTTGTGATTATGGTGGTGTCAAATCCCTGCTTCCAGGATCTTCCTGGCTTTGGTTGCATGGCTGAAGCATTCAGTGCAGTGTTAGGCCTTTGTTATGACTTACAAGTGTGGGTTGGTTTTAGAATTGTTTCTAAATGGGAGCGGTGCAGTGAAATGAGTCTTAAATATCAGATAATTGGCAGAGAGAAAGTTGCTTTTGCAGGAAAGAAAGATTGATGTACTTGAGAGAGAGACTCCTTGCTTGTCATTACTGGCTGCAGGACAGTGCATGCTTTAGATCTCTCGGGTCACCATATTTATGAACAAACCCTTGGTTTTATGGGATTCAGAGAACAATTCGGAATTTGCTGTGCTAGGTGAACACACGTCACTCCTGCTAGATGTAAACACAGCTATAATGAATGTCAGCTTTCTGTTTTGTTTCAAATACTGGGTGTTTGTTATTTTACATGCTCCCGTCTCAGCTGCCATCATGGGAGCGCCTTGAAATCTTCCTGCTTTTAGCTCATCGTTCAGCATGGGATGAGGGCACAGGGAGCTGGGCACTCACACGAGGCTGTGCAGGAAGCTCGTGGATGAGCAGGGGATTATGCCTGAGTCTGCTGTGTCCCAGGGCAGTGCCCCCAGCACTCCTCCTTTCTGTAAAATGTCGGCACCAGCAGGAGTTTAAAGTCTACGTGGTTGTTTGTTGACTGTGACCTAACAGATCTGATATGTCTTGTATAATTATATGTGAAAGCGTGTCTGTGTGTATTTGGTTTCACTCTTTAATGAATTTTAATAATCTAGGTATGTTCCAAATAGTGCTTGGACAATGGCTTCTTTAAGCATACAAGGAGTATTTAGTATCACACAGTATTTATTCCCTACTTACACCCAGTTGCTGTCTTGACAAGGTATCCTGAGGAGCAGTATCTCTGAAAATCTATGTCCTGAATTGTTGCTGTGTTTGGTTCTTGCTGTGTTTGTTTTTTCCATGCAAAGTAGCTGCAGACTAGCTGCTCCCTCAGCTCTGTCTCCCTTAGCTCACAGAGCAGGCCTTGATGTAGTTTAGTAATGGTACATGTGACTCTTGCAAGTTCTCTTAGTCATCTCTTGCCACACTTCTGAAAAATAAAAATCTAAAGGCTGGAGCTTCATTGACAATAAGGAATGGAAGAATTATATCGAATTACAAAAGTCTTCTTGAGCTGGGTATTTGGATATCTTTTTAGATGCTAAAAGCTACTGGTGTGATATACAGTAACTGAGAAATTTGAGTTTGTGAACTCATGAGCTCTGAGGCATTTACACCTGTGACAGTGTGAAATACTTTTTTCTCTGAATAGAGTAAAACATACACATTGTTAGGACAGAATGAGTCTCAATGACCTTTTACAGTATGAATTATGTAAAATAATACTGTACATTCTATATGTATAATACTTTAGTAAAGTGAACCTAAAGAAAGAGCTGAAATAGATTGACTCACTTTAAGGAAAATGCTGTAAATGAAATGGGAAGGTTGTCTGACTTAAATCTGCAATACTTACTGCTTTGGAATTTATTTTGGAACTTCATCTGGAAGTAACTGTTTTGTCTGTGCACAAAAGTGAAACAGGAACAGGCTGACAGCCTGTCAACTGATCATGTGAACTTTTCAGAATCAAAAGTTTTATCTTGTAGCTATCATAAAGGGGGGAGAGCTATTGTTACCTAAATGGACAGGATGTAATTCTGCCTTAAACTGGGCAGACTGTCACATTCTGTGTTCCTTCCTGTTCCTGGGAGCAGGATGGGGGAGAGGGATTTGATGGGTTTGAGACCAATCTATTTGTGCTCCTTGGCATAATACAGGTGCTGATAACTTCAGTTTTAGCTGTTAGTTCATAATTATTTATGTATCCCTTAAAATTTTCCCTGATTACTTTAAGATCATGATTTTCATTCTGGCTAAGTCATACTGGAGTATTGAGTTGAATTTAATGAAGCTGTGCTGTGTGAATATATCAGCTCACTGTGGTTTTGTCTTTTTATTTTTTCCTTTTTTTTTTCCCCTTTTTTTAAAAAGAGGTTTTTGAAACTTCTTCTCTTGATGGTAAAATGCTATATTTTTCCTAAAATGAGTGAAAGAACCACCAGGACTGTATTTTAAGTGACCATGTCTGTTGGGTACTGAGCTAATTCTTGCATCAGTAATCCATTGCAGATCAGTACACATTAAGAAAGAGTAACACTTAAGCCATGAATGACACTTAAGAATAAATAACCTAATATTGAGTCAAAGATACCACTTGGAAGGATATTTCTTGGCATCAATAACGCTAATCTTTCTTCTTTTAGTTTCCTTTAAATCCTAAATGCTTTGTGTCTGCTATATCTGGTTTGTAAGTCACCTTTTTAGGTGAACTGCTGATGTGTGTGTTGTCTTAGGAGATTTAACTTGCACAAAGAAAAATGTTCCCAGATAACCTTGATCCTTCCAAGGCACTTGTGGAGAAGTTAGGTCTGGCATCCAGGACAGTGGTGTGGAGGTTGTCTTTTTGTACTCCAGTCCTAAGGTTTGGTAGAGAGACAAGAGTTTTGGACAGCATTTGAAGCTGTCTCTAGAGACTTTTCAAAGCAGAAAGGTACTTTCTCCCAACTTCGTTCTTCACCTCTTTACTTGAAGCTGTCTCTAGAGACTTTTCAAAGCAGAAAGGTACTTTCTCTTCGTTCTTCACCTCTTTAAGAAGGAAGCTGAGTTTTTACTGTTTTGTAAAAAAACTAAAAACATTATTAAAAAACCTGATTTTTTAAAAGAAATAATTAAACATTGCAGCTCTCTTTGTGTTTGTAAAGCAATGCAGACTTCTAGAAAACTCCTGTGTTCTGATTTGGATCCACTGAAAAAAAAAAGACATGGACCTGTAGTTTAGTAAGAAGTTAAACTGTGACAGAATGAGATGTGGTTGGTTTACTTAGATAAGTATGTAATTGTTCTTAACTGCACGGAGTGTCAATGGACTTTCCCTTTCCGTCCTCCTTCTCTCTGGCTTTAAGGTTGGATGTGTGCAGTGATCTCTTATTAACCAGAGGGGTAAATTGTCATGAGCCCAACCGATCTAGGGACAGCTGTAAATGATGGACTGGCAGTATGGGATCCTCTTGGCTCTGTGTTCCTATCTCCTCGTCTTTGGCAGTGCTCAGCCTCTGGTTGAGCCAGTTCAGCTTGCTAAACCAGCAGCAAAAAGTACTTGCAGTTTTTCTGGGCAGATTTCTACTTGATTTGGTGAGTTGAACGGTGTCGTCTTGGGGTTGGTTAGTCACTGCACTTGGAGTACAGTGACAGCAAGGAAAGGGCTGGAGGGGCTCAGCCCCCTTCAGTGGCCTGGACTGTCTGCTTGGATCCACTGCCTTGGAGGTCTCTCCTGGATAAAGCCTCTGCTTCAGCCTTAAATCAGTTTTGGAATGATCTGTTCCTGAGGGATTGTTGGTTTGATTTTGATTAAGAGAGTTGTAGGTGTTAAAGGAAGCTGTTCCTGTTATTTTCGGCATTTGCCTCTTCATTGAGTGAGATTATAACGTCATCATTCAAAAATTGTTCAGATTATGATGCTCTGATGTTCTTGGTGGGTTGCTTTTTCCTACAGCCTCTAATGAAGAGTGAGGGCTGTTACGTGATTTATTTTTTTTTGTTGTTTATAAGACAGTCTTGAAGGACTTAAATATGGTTTGTGGCCAGCTTTGCAAAATTATTTATTAGTTGATTCATTAGGCTGGAAAAGGAGAGTGCTATATCATCTCCCTTGCCTTAGGAATGAGTGACAAGGCAAGGCTTTCCAGACTGCTGCTGACATTAACTATCAAGTCCTTTTCCCTTCCTGCTAGAAAGCTTGTGCATTGTCCTCACAGAAGTTGTGTGTGTGATGATGTGATATTCTCTATATGTTGTGAAAGTTTCTGGGCAGGTTAATCTGCAGCTGTCATTGCAATGCAGGTACATGTTAGCAATAGTGTTGCATGGTGCACAGTCTTAATTGTTACGTAATATATCAACAAGTTATGAAATTTGAATGTATAGTTTAGCTTCTTACAGGACAGAAAACCTTTTGCATTGTAGTTAAATTCTGGTTATATACTCTTTGGTATGTGTGGCAGACTTAACATTGGTTGTTTCATTTTTGAAATCACCTTGTTGCAAGAAGTTTTGCTTTTAGTTTGACTTTTTTCTTGCAGCTCCCTAAAGCAGCAGGCTGTTAATAACTTTGGAATATTACAGGATGTTGCTGTTGATTAGAAACATACATAGGTGATAAGCACAGGTTGCTGGAGCCATGGAGAGCAGAATTTGTTGACTGTCTTTTTAAGCTTTCATTGAGCAAGTGTCTTGGAATTGATATTTGTACGAGGATGAAAATCATCTCATATCTCAGCTTCTTTTATTGAGAGTTGACATACTGGTAGTCCCTGCTTATCAGTAAAAAGACTGATGTATAGGATTCTTTCCTTTGCAGTTCTCAAAATTACTTCTTTTTTGTGTCTGGCTTGATTTGTTGTGCAGTTGAGGAGTGTTATCCTTGGTGGTGACTTTCATTCTATAGACTGTTCACCTGGGAACTTGTTCAATGACA